TGATAGATATAGAACACTATGGACTCACTGATAGATATAGAACACTATGGACTCACTGATAGATATAGAACACTATGGACTCACTGATAGATATAGAACACTATGGACTCACTAATAGATATAGAACACTATGGACTCACTGATAGATATTGAACACTATGGACTCACTGATAGATATAGAACACTATGGACTCACTGATAGATATAGAACACTATGGACTCACTGATAGATATAGAACACTATGGACTCACTGATAGATATAGAACACTATGGACTCACTGATAGATATAGAACACTATGGACTCACCAGCAGAGGGACTCACTGATAGATATAGAACACTATGGACTCACTGATAGATATAGAACACTATGGACTCACTGATAGATATAGAACACTATGGACTCACTGATAGATATAGAACACTATGGACTCACTGATAGATATAGAACACTATGGACTCACTGATAGATATAGAACACTATGGACTCACTGATAGATATAGAACACTATGGACTCACTGATAGATATAGAACACTATGGACTCACTGATAGATATAGAACACTATGGACTCACCAGCAGAGACTCACTGATAGATATAGAACATTATGGACTCACTGATAGATATAGTACGCTGTGGACTCACCAGCTCCCGCTTTCTCCCGTTGCGCTATTTACGAACGAACACGTGACTGGCTCAACTGTTCTGGGGAAGTACGCTAGGCTTGTGCGTTATACCGTATACCGGGTATTTGGAAAAAGAAATGGGATGTGTTTTTCAATACCGTCAATGATTAATTTTTAAGTCTTTCAATTAATTTGAATATTTTTAGCTACTTTTTAAGTTAATACCTGTAGTCAACTTCTGCAATACGTTAGGAGTGGCGCAGTGGTCTAAGGCACTGCATCGCAGTGCTAGCTCTGCCACTAGAGATCCTGGTTCGAATCCAGGCTCTGTCGTAGCCGGCCGCGACCGGGAGACCCCATGGGGCGGCGCACAATTGGCACAGCGTCGTCCAGGGTAGGGGAGGGAATGGCCGGCAGGGATGTAGAGCATGGCGTTTGCGTTTGCAACGCCAGTGTTGTGGGTTCGATTCCCACGTGGGGCCAGTATGAAAAAAATAAATAAAATAATAATCATCATGTATGCACTCACTAACTGTAAGTCGCTCTGGATAAGAGCGTCTGCTAAATGACTAAAATGTATAAAAATGTAAATATAGTAGATTATGTTTATCATTTCACGTGTCACTTTATTTAAAAAATTTCAAATAAATTGTTTCCACTTTATTGAAAAACCATCCTGGGGCTATTTCCAAATACCCCGATTATATACGGTAAACCCAAGCCTAACTGCCAGGACAGACCTATACACCACTGGAGAAGAGCCCACTGACATATATTACCGTTTACACCAGTGGCGGTTGGTGCCGTTTTAAGATTAGGGAGGATGATTGTTTTTAATGAGCATGGCCTTATTTCTATTACAGCGTATTGGATGACTGTCATTCATATTCCATTCACCCAGCTCAATGTAACATCGATAGGTTTAGGCTGCTACATGATACTCACATTTTCCCTACACCCATCACGAGGTTGCTACAACCTACGAATGAAAGTTTATAACGTAGGTGGACACAGGTCGAGAGACACATTGGAGGCAGACGGTGACACATTCAGTACCGCCTTGCCGCACACTCTTGCCTGCATCTAGCTGATCTAGGGTGTAATCAGCTGATCATCATTAGTCCAATCAGCTGCGAGCGAGAGTTACAAAACCTTCATACCATAACCGCTGCACACAGACGTTGTCAACGTCACCGTATTAGCTAACGTCACTGTTAACATGGCCACTAGAATTAACTAGTTATTAGAAGTGAAAGAATACAATGTAATACCTCTCTCTGTCTCTGTCTCTCTCTCTCTCTCTCCAGCTTCTCCTTAATTTTTGAAGAAATTAATTTGTTCAAAACTGTTCAACTATTGTCTTTCTGAGTCAACTACTCACCACATTTGATGCACTGCAGTGCTAGCTAGCTGTAGCTTATGCTTTCAGTACTAGATTCATTCTCTGATCCTTTGATTGGGTGGACAACATGTCAGTTCATGTAGCAAGAGCTCTGATAGGTTGGAGCACCTCCTCCAGAAGTTGTCATAATTACTGTGTAAGTCTATGGAAGGGGGTGAGAACCGTGAGCCTCCTAGGTTTTGTATTGAAGTCAATGTACCCAGAGGAGGACAGAAGCTAGCTGTCCTCCGGCTACACCATGGTGTTACCCTACAGAGTGCTGTTGAGGCTACTGTAGACCTTCATTTCAAAAGTGTGTTTTAATAAAAATGTTGGTGACGTGAATATATTTAGTATAGTTTTATCTGAACTTTTTTCACCTCTACACCACCCCACCACCTCTACACCACACCACCACCTCTACACCACACCACCAGCGACATCATTGATATACACAGAGAATAGAGTCGGCCCAAGAATTGAACCCTGTGGCACCCCCATAGAGACTGCCATAGGTCCAGACAACAGGCCCTCTGATTTGACACATTGAACTCTATCTGAGAAGTAGTTGGTGAACCAGGCGAGGCAGTCATTTGAGAAATCAAGGCTATTTAGTCTGCCAATAAGAATGCGGTGGTTGACCGAGTCGAAAGCCTTGGCCAGGTCGATGAAGACGGATGCACAGTACTGTCTATTATCGATCGCGGTTTTAATATCGTTTAGGACCTTGAGCGTGGCTGAGGTGCACCCATGACCAGCTCGGAAACCGGATTGCATAGCGGAGAAGGTACGGTGGGATTCGAAATGGTCGGTGATCTGTTTGTTAACTTGGCTTTTCAAAAACGTTCGAAAGGCAGGGCAGGATGGATATAGGTCTGTAACAGTTTGGATCTAGAATGTCACCCCCTTTTGAAGAGGGGGATGACCGCGGCAGCTTTCCAATCTCTGGGGATCTCAGACATTACGAAAGAGGTTGAACAGGCTAGTAATAGGGGTTGCGACAATTTCGGCGGCTAGTTTTAGAAAGAAAGGGTCCAGATTGTCTAGCCCAGCTGATTTGTAGGGGTCCAGATTTTGCAGCTCTTTCAGAACATCAGCTGTCTGAATTTGTGTGAAGGAGAAGCGGGGGGGGGCATGGGCAAGTTGCAGCGGAGGGTGCAGAGTTGGTGGCCGGGGTAGTGGTAGCCAGGTGGAAAGCATGGCCAGCCGTGGCAAAATGCTTGTTGAAATTCTCGATTATTGTAGATTTATCGGTGGTGATAGTGTTTCCTAGCCTCAGTGCAGTGGGCAGCTGGGAGGAAGTGCTCTTATTCTCCATGGACTTTACAGTGTCCCAAAACTTTTTGGAGTTAGTGCTACAGGATGCAAATTTCTGTTTGAAAAAGTTAGCCTTTACTTTCCTAACTTCCCTGAAAAGTTGCGGGGGCTATTTGATGCTAATGCAGTACGCCACAGGATGTTTTTGTGCTGGTCAAAAGGAGAACCAGGGGCTATATCTGTTCTTAGTTCTGTATTTTTTTGAATGGGGCATGTTTATTTAAGATTGAGAGGAAATTACTTTTAAGGAACAACCAGGCATCCTCTACTGACGGAATGAGATCGATATCCATCCAGGATACCCGGGCCAGGTCAATTAGAAAGGCCTGCTCGCTGAAGTGTTTTAGGGAGCGTTTGACAGTGATGAGGGGTGGTCGTTTGACCGCGGACCCGTTACGGATGCAGGCAATAAGGCAGTGATCGCTGAGATCCTGGTTGAAGACAGCGGAGTTGTATTTAGAGGGAAAGTTAGTCAGGATGATGATGTCAGTCTGTATTGACTACTATATATGTGTCTGTGTGTCTTCGTCTCAAGCTTAAAAGTCTCCATATCTCGTCCCTCCAGGTGATGCCTTCCCAGCAGCCTCCAGTCCCTTCCTGCCGGGCTATTCCGGCCCCTCCCCCCTGACCTCTGACCCAGCCTTCAGATCACCCAATCAAATGGCTCAGCTCTGGGCCTCACACGCTGCCGCCCACGAAGGTAAGACTATTTCAGACTGTCCTCCTGTGTTCGGTGTCAGTGTTGTATCTGGGTCACTACTGTCCTCTCTCTCTCCTCTCCTGCCCCACTTCTACCGTCTATCTGGGTCACTTCCCCCACTGGCTGTCCCTTATCTCTCTCTCTCTCTCTCTCTCTCTCTCTCTTTCTCTCTCTTTCCATTATCTCTCTTTCTCTCTCTTTCCATTATCTCTCTTTCTCTCTCTTTCAGCTCTTTCCATCTCTCTCTTTCATCTCTTTCCATCTCTCTCGCTCTCTCTCTTTCCATTATCTCCTCTTCTCGCATCTCTCTCTTTCATCTCTTTCCCATCTCTCTTCTTCTCTCTCTCTCGCCTCGCTCCTCCATTCTCGTCTCGCTAGCTCCATCCTCCCTGTTCATCCTCTTTCCCCGCTCCGCCCGCCTCGGGCTCGCCGTCCGTTCCAGTTCTCGTCCGCAGTCTCTGCTCGGCCATCGCCTCTCGTCCACTGCGCGTCTCAGCTCTGGCCATCTCCTCGGCCATCTCTCTCTCTTTCCATCTCTCTCTTTCCATCTCCGCTCTCCACTCTTCCTTCTCCGCATCGTCTTTCCACTCTCCTCTTCTTTCCATCTCTCCTCTTTCCATCTCTCTCTTTCCATCTCTTCTCTTTCCTTCCTCTCTCTCTCTTTCCATCTCTCCTCTTCCATTCCTTCGCGTTCGGTCTCATTCCTTCTTCCTCTTCTCTCTCGCCCTCTCTTTCTCATCTCTTCTTTCCTTTCCATCTCTTCCTCCTTTCTCTCATCTCTCTCTCCTTCCATCTCTCTACTCTCCATCTCTCCTCTTCTCGGTCACTGGAGCTCTCTCTCTCTCTCCTCTCTCGGTGGTCAACATTTTGTCACAGTCTTCATGTTACACCATAACACAGGGTCGTTGCTCTGTCCACACCTACCACTGAATGTTTTTCTACCTCCCACTACGCCCCTCATCCCAGGCGTCTCTACCCAACCCACCCACCACCCCCTAGGGTCAACCTGAGCCTCACTCCCCCCCTCCCTGGCTTGGCTCGCACCACCACCTCTACACCAACCACAACCAAGGTCAGTACAACACCACACCTCACACACCACCACCTCTAACAACACACACCACCACCTGGACCACCAACGCCACCACACCACCAACCAGCACACACACCACCACCCTAACACCACCCAACACACGCTGTACACCACCAACCACCACTCTACACCACACACACCACCATCAACACACAACACACACACCTCTACACACACACAACCAACATCTGACAACCACACCACCACCTAAACACCACAACCACAACACCTACACCCCACACAACACCTCTACACCAACACCACCAACCATCTAACCCACCAACACCACACCCACACCACACAAACACAAAACCACCACCTCTACACCACCACCTCTACACCACACCACCACCTCTACACCACACCACCACCTATACACACCACCATCCCACACCACCACCTCTACACCACCACCACCACCTCTACACCACACCACCACCTCTACACCACACACACCACCACCTCTACACCCACCACCACCTACCCACCCACCACTCACACCACACCACCCACCCAGACACCCCCCACACACTACCAACGGTCAGGACACCCCACCACACACTACCAACGGCCAGGACACCCCACCACACACTACCAACGGTCAGGACACCCCACCACACACTACCAACGGCCAGGACACCCCACCACACACTACCAACGGCCAGGACACCCCACCACACACTACCAACGGTCAGGACACCCACCACACACTACCAACGGTCAGGACAACCCCACCACACACTACCAACGGCCAGGACACCCCACCACACACTACCAACGGCCAGGACACCCCACCACACACTACCAACGGTCAGGACACCCCACCACACACTACCAACGGCCAGGACACCCCACCACACACTACCAACGGCCAGGACACCCCACCACACACTACCAGCGGTCAGGACACCCCCACCACTCACTACCAACGGTCAGGACACCCCACCACACACTACCAACGGCCAGGACACCCCACCACACACTACCAACGGTCAGGACACCCCACCACACACTACCAACGGCCAGGACACCCCACCACACACTACCAACGGCCAGGACACCCCACCACACACTACCAACGGTCAGGACACCCCACCACACACTACCAACGGTCAGGACACCCCACCACACACTACCAACGGCCAGGACACCCCACCACACACTACCAACGGTCAGGACACCCCACCACACACTACCAACGGTCAGGACACCCCACCACACACTACCAACGGTCAGGACACCCCCACCACACACTACCAACGGCCAGGACACCCCACCACACACTACCAACGGTCAGGACACCCCCACCACACACTACCAACGGTCAGGACACCCACCACACACTACCAACGGTCAGGACACCCCACCACACACTACCAACGGTCAGGACACCCCACCACACACTACCAACGGCCAGGACACCCCACCACACACTACCAACGGTCAGGACACCCCCACCACACACTACCAACGGCCAGGACACCCCACCACACACTACCAACGGTCAGGACACCCCACCACACACTACCAACGGTCAGGACACCCCCACCACTCACTACCAACGGCCAGGACACCCCACCACTCACTACCAGCGGTCAGGACACCCCCACCACACACTACCAACGGTCAGGACACCCCCACCACACACTACCAACGGCCAGGACACCCCACCACACACTACCAACAGTCAGGACACCCCACCACACACTACCAACGGCCAGGACACCCCACCACACACTACCAACGGTCAGGACACCCCACCACACACTACCAACGGTCAGGACACCCCACCACACACTACCAACGGTCAGGACACCCCCACCACACACTACCAACGGTCAGGACACCCCACCACACACTACCAATGGTCAGGACACCCCACCACACACTACCAACGGTCAGGACACCCCACCACACACTACCAACGGTCAGGACACCCCACCACACACTACCAACGGTCAGGACACCCCCACCACACACTACCAACGGTCAGGACACCCCACCACACACTACCAACGGTCAGGACACCCCCACCACACACTACCAACGGTCAGGACACCCCCACCACTCACTACCAACGGTCAGGACACCCCACCACTCACTACCAGCGGTCAGGACACCCCCACCACACACTACCAACGGTCAGGACACCCCCACCACACACTACCAACGGCCAGGACACCCCACCACACACTACCAACGGTCAGGACACCCCACCACACACTACCAACGGCCAGGACACCCCACCACACACTACCAACGGTCAGGACACCCCCACCACACACTACCAACGGTCAGGACACCCCACCACACACTACCAACGGTCAGGACACCCCACCACACACTACCAACGGTCAGGACACCCCCACCACACACTACCAACGGTCAGGACACCCCACCACACACTACCAACGGCCAGGACACCCCACCACACACTACCAACGGTCAGGACACCCCCACCACACACTACCAACGGTCAGGACACCCCACCACACACTACCAACGGTCAGGACACCCCACCACACACTACCAACGGTCAGGACACCCCACCACACACTACCATGCTAAGCCTGCCTTGGTTCACGTGAGAACTCTGAAATAAAATGGCGCTTGGTTCATAGAAGCAGTGTTACGTCAGTAACCTTTTAATTGAACTTTTAATTTAATTTAATTTTAATAAACAGCAGTTTCTGTTTTCTTCCTTCAAAATGTGGCTCTGTCTTTTTTAATGGTTTAAGCCCCGAAATAATATTCTGACCCCATCACTGAAATATCAGACTCTCAGGAACACACGTTTTCTGTTCTCCTCTGCAACGCCATGCAGGACTCATTACATTTTAGTCATTTAGCAGACGCTAATGCTCTACCAACTGAGCTACGCCATGCTCTACCAAACGCCATGCAAACGCCATGCTCTACCAACTGAGCTACATCCCTGCCCGGCCATTCCCTCCCCTACCCTGGACGACGCTGGGCCAATTGTGCGCCGTCCCCATGGGGTCTCCCGGTCGCGGCCGGCTACGACAGAGCCTGGATCCGAACCAGGATCTCTAGTGGCACAGCTAGCACTGCGATGCCTTAGACCACTGCGCCACTCGGGAGGTCACATTAGAACAGAATGGAAAACACCCAGGCACTAAATCAGATTGGAGGGAAAATAACGTTATCAATGATCATGTTGTTTTCTCCACAGATCATACATAATGATTACCTGATGATCTTCTGAACATTACCAATACCTGTTCTCCACAGATCATACATAATGATTACCTGACGATCTTCTGAACATTACCAATACCTGTTCTCCACAGATCATACATAATGATTACCTGACGATCTTCTGAACATTACCAATACCTGTTCTCCACAGATCATACATAATGATTACCTGATGATCTTCTGAACATTACCAATACCTGTTCTCCACAGATCATACATAATGATTACCTGATGATCTTCTGAACATTACCAATACCTGTTCTCCACAGATCATACATAATGATTACCTGACGATCTTCTGAACATTACCAATACCTGTTCTCCACAGATCATACGTAATGATTACCTGATGATCTTCTGAACATTACCGATACCTGTTCTCCACAGATCATACATAATGATTACCTGACGATCTTCTGAACATTACCGATACCTGTTCTCCACAGATCATACATAATGATTACCTGATGATCTTCTGAACATTACCAATACCTGTTCTCCACAGATCATACATAATGATTACCTGACGATCTTCTGAACATTACCAATACCTGTTCTCCACAGATCATACATAATGATTACCTGATGATCTTCTGAACATTACCAATACCTGTTCTCCACAGATCATACATAATGATTACCTGATGATCTTCTGAACATTACCAATACCTGTTCTCCACAGATCATACATAATGATTACCTGATGATCTTCTGAACATTACCAATACCTGTTCTCCACAGATCATACATAATGATTACCTGATGATCTTCTGAACATTACCAATACCTGTTCTCCACAGATCATACATAATGATTACCTGACGATCTTCTGAACATTACCAATACCTGTTCTCCACAGATCATACATAATGATTACCTGATGATCTTCTGAACATTACCAATACCTGTTCTCCACAGATCATACATAATGATTACCTGACGATCTTCTGAACATTACCAATACCTGTTCTCCACAGATCATACATAATGATTACCTGACGATCTTCTGAACATTACCAATACCTGTTCTCCACAGATCATACATAATGATTACCTGACGATCTTCTGAACATTACCAATACCTGTTCTCCACAGATCATACATAATGATTACCTGACGATCTTCTGAACATTACCAATACCTGTTCTCCACAGATCATACATAATGATTACCTGATGATCTTCTGAACATTACCAATACCTGTTCTCCACAGATCATACATAATGATTACCTGATGATCTTCTGAACATTACCAATACCTGTTCTCCACAGATCATACATAATGATTACCTGATGATCTTCTGAACATTACCAATACCTGTTCTCCACAGATCATACATAATGATTACCTGACGATCTTCTGAACATTACCAATACCTGTTCTCCACAGATCATACATAATGATTACCTGACGATCTTCTGAACATTACCAATACCTGTTCTCCACAGATCATACATAATGATTACCTGACGATCTTCTGAACATTACCAATACCTGTTCTCCACAGATCATACATAATGATTACCTGACGATCTTCTGAACATTACCAATACCTGTTCTCCACAGATCATACATAATGATTACCTGACGATCTTCTGAACATTACCAATACCTGTTCTCCACAGATCATACATAATGATTACCTGATGATCTTCTGAACATTACCAATACCTGTTCTCCACAGATCATACATAATGATTACCTGACGATCTTCTGAGCATTACCAATACCTGTTCTCCACAGATCATACATAATGATTACCTGACGATCTTCTGAACATTACCAATACCCGTCTGATGCATTTTCAGTCTCTTCAAACCATACTGTCTTCAGATTGAAATACTGTCAAAAGTATTGATTTGTAATAGACTTGTCTTAGCCCCAATAAAAATTCAACATTGGTTGTTAATTACACCACTTTTTTTCACATGGTGGGGGTCACCACATGATTTTTGTTTTATCAAAGTGGGGGTCGGGGGTCAAACGGTTTGGGACTCCTGTGTTACTGTATCTGCTGTGTTTTATTGTGTTCCAGAAAGGTTCTACCTACCTGTTTCATTACCCCAGCCGCCCCTCCAACCCCCCTCCGCCCCCCACAGCTCCATCCCCCAGAGGAGCTCCCGGGAGGGGGGCAGGGACCGAGACAGGCCCTACCGCGAGGAGAGGGAGAGAGAGGAGCCCCAGGAGGAGGCCAGGGGCCGAGACAGACCCTACCGCGAGGAGAGGGAGAGAGAGGAGCCCCGGGAGGGGGCCAGGGACCGAGACAGACCCTACCGCGAGGAGAGGGAGAGAGAGGAGCCCCGGGAGGGGGGCAGGGGCCGAGACAGACCCTACCGCGAGGAGAGGGAGAGAGAGGAGCCCCAGGAGGGGGCCAGGGACCGAGACAGACCCTACCGCGAGGAGAGGGAGAGAGAGGAGCCCCAGGAGGGGGCCAGGGACCGAGACAGACCCTACCGCGAGGAGAGGGAGAGAGAGGAGCCCCAGGAGGGGGCCAGGGACCGAGACAGACCCTACCGCGAGGAGAGGGAGAGCGACAGAGGGGAGAGGGAGCGGTCGAGAGAGGAGCCCCGCCCATACAGTGTGGTGGACCTGACACAGGATGGGAGGAACGATGAGGAGAAGAGAGGGAGGAGTGGAGAGAGAGAGCGGGACCGAGAGAGAGACAGGGAGCAGGCTTGGGCTTTCCTCCATTACCGCTCTGCTCCTCAGCCCCCCCGCCAGGGCTCCCCCTCTTCCGGACGCTACCCAGAGACTAATGACGCACGCACTCGCTCCCCCAACCCTAACCCGAGCCCCCAAACACACACTCGCTCCCCCAACCCTAACCCGAGCCCCCACACACACACTCCCTCCCCTCACACACACACAGACAGGCTGAGGAAGAGTGACTCTACTTACAGTGGTGGACTCCCCCCCTCCTCTCTCCCTCCTCCCCCCCCCAGCCTCCCCCCTGGCCCCACCCACCCTGCACACCGGGAGCCTATCAGGGAACAGCGTGTGAGCGCGCCCACTTACGTGCCTTCTGTGGAGGTCTATGATGAGCGGGTCGGCCCGATCCAGATCGCCTCGCAGGCCAGGGACAAACAGGACAAACTGATGGAGAGGGAGAGGGATCGAGAGAGCGGGGTCTCCAGGTTTCCTGGAAGGACTCTATTGGACCCTCGCGCTTCTCTTCCTGGTGATTTGTCCAATCAGAGAGAGCGGGAGGAGGGCTCTGTGATCCGCTCCAACGGTTCGGCTCTGAAACGAGACGGTTACGTCAGCCAATCAGGGTTCAGCCCGGACCCCAGGGACACGCCCAAACATGCCATCCGTTTGGGGGAAGGGCCTAGATGGAACCCCATCAGCCCATTGGCCAACTACGCCACCAGTCACATGACAGCTCTGGCCTCCCAACACGGACACACGCGATCACAACACGCACACACTCAGCCCTCGCACAACCAGCACGGACTCAACAGACCCCCGTCCGACCCCCACGCACCCCAACGCGGACACACACGTTCCCCGCACCCCCTGCCCCAACCCCAGAGGGGAGAGGATGGGCAGAGGCGCTACGTGGACGCCTCGGCCCTGTACCGCCCTGGGGGAAGAAGGGGAAGCAGCGGGGGAGGAGGGGCAGAGTCTGAGGGGGGAGGAGGAGGAGGAGGAGAGGTGTCGGCCATGCAGAGTCTAATCAAATACAGCGGGACCTTCCCGCCTGAAGGCCAGGGGTCCTCCAGGCAGGACACGGACAACCACGCAGCCTTCGGAGGGCTGGGGTTCATGAGGCTGGAGGAGGGGGGAGGAGGGGGGAGGCCGATGAAGAGGGAGCAGGAGCGTCCCGACAGCACCCGGTCGTTCGGACGTGGCGAGGTGGCGGGGGCGGGCGAGGGCGGGGGAGAGGTGCGTCACCCCCCTGTGGGGATAGCCGTGGCGGTGGCGAGACAGAGGGACAGCAGCGGTACAGACTCACGGACACAGAGACCTCTGCTACTGCACGGAGGGGTCAAAGGTAAGCGGGGGTTTGGAGGGTCATCTTGGACAGGGGGACATTGGGGTGTATATGGGGGGGGGGAGGGGAAAGGGGGTATGGTGTTTTATGGGTTTTGAGGTTTTAGAGGGTCATTCCTGCTGGACGACTGGTTTGAATATGGGGTGATTGGGGGATGGTTGGGGGGGTATTGGGAGGGTATATGGGGGGTTTGGGGGGGTATTGGGGGGGTATAGGGTTGGGGGGGGTATTGGGATAGGGGGGTATTGGGGGTATGGGGTTGGGGGGGTATATGGGGGGTATTGGGAGTGGGTGGAGGTATGGGGGGGTGGATTTGGGGGGGTGGGGGGTATTGGGGGGTATTGGGAGGGTATTGGGTGGGGGGTAGGGGGGTTGGGAGGGGTATTGGGGGGTATGGGAGGTATTGGGGAGGGTATTGGGAGGGTATATGGGGGGGTATTTGGGGGGGTATATGGGGGGTATTGGGAGGGTATTTGGGGGGTATTGGGAGGGTATATGGGGGGGTGTATTGGGAGGGTATTTGGGGAGGGTATATGGGGGGGGTATGGGGAGGGTGTTTGGGGGGTATTTGGGGGGGTATATGGGGGTTGTATTGGGAGGGTGTTTGGGGGGGTATTGGGAGGGTATTTGGGGGGTATTGGGAGGGTATATGGGGGTATTTGGGGGGGTATTGGGAGGGTATATGGGGGTATTTGGGAGGGTATATGGGGGGGTATGGGGAGGGTGTTTGGGGGGTATTGGGAGGGTATTTGGGGGGGTATTGGGAGGGTATATGGGGGGGTATTGGGAGGGTATATGGGGGTATTTGGGGGGGTATATGGGGGGTATGGGGAGGGTGTTTGGGGGGGTATATGGGGGGTATTTGGGGGTGTATTGGGAGGGTATTTGGGGGGGTATTTGGGAGGGTATATGGGGGGTATATGGGGGGGTATTGGGAAAACCCAGTATAAGTTGAAGGATATGTCATCACCATCATTAATGAAGCTATTTCAAGGCCAACATTAAGAAGCCACAAAAGATGAAAACTGAGTTTTGTTATACTGAACAACAATATAAACGCAACATGTAACGTGTTGGTCCCATGTTTCATGAGCTGAAATGAAACATCCCTGACATTATCCATAGGCACTAAAATCTTATTTCTCTCCAATTTGGTGCACAAATTTGTTTACATCCTTGTTGGTGAGCATGTCTCCTTTGCCAAGATAATCCAGGTGTGGCATATCAAGAAGCTGATTAAACCGCATGATCATTACACAGGTGCACCTTGTGCTGGGGACAATAAAAGGCCACTCTTAAAATGTGTAGTTTTGTCACCCGACATAATTCCACAGATGTCTCAAGTTTTGAGGGAGCGTGCAATTGGCATGCTGACTGCAGGAATTTGTCAGTACGTCCAACCGGCCTCACAACCGCAGACCACGTGTATGGCGTTGTGTGGGCGAGCGGTTTGCTGATGTCAACGTTGTGAACAGAGTGCCCCATGGTGGCGGTGGGGTTATGGTACGGGCAGACATAAGCTATGGACAACGAACACAATTGCATTTTATCGATGGCAATTTGAATGCACAGAGATACCGTGATGAGATCCTGAGGCCCATTGTCATGCCATTCATCCACCATCATCACCTCATGTTTCAGCATGATAATGAACGGTCCCATGTCGCAAGGATCTGTACACAATTCCTGGAAGCTGAAAATGTCCCAGTTCTTCCATGGCCTGCATACTCACCAGACATGTCACCCATTGAGCATGTTTGGGATGCTCTGGATCAACGTGTACGACAGCGTGTTCCAGTTCCCGCAAATATCCAGCAACAACGCACAGTCATTGAAGAGGAGTGGGCCAACATTCCACAGCCTGATCAACTCTATGTGAAGGAGATGTGTCGCGCTGCGTGAGGCAAATAGTGGGCACACCAGATACTGACTGGTTTTCTGATCCCCGCCCCTACATTTTTTTTTTTAAGGTATCTCTGACCAACAGATGCATATCTGTATTCCCAGTCATGTGAAATCCATTGATTAGGGCCTAATGAATGTATTTCAATTGACTGATTTCCTTCTATGAACTGTAACTCAGTAAAATCTTTGAAATTGTTGCATGTTGCGTTTTCTGTTTAGTTCAGTATATTTTGATATACTACTGTTGTTGTAGCAGTGCATTATGGATCACCACGTTCTATCCTGTCGTCCAAACAGACGAAGAGCGGGGGGGAGAACGAGGCCGTCACCATGGCGATAGACTGGGCTGCCTTGAGCGTGAGCAGGAGAAGTTGCTCAGGTAAGGGGGCGTGACCAACAGCCTTTACCTGGGAAGGCTGCCCGTAAAAAGTAGCGCTGGATATTATTTTATTTGGAACCTGCAATGTTAGGGAAAATATGACATGGATGTTTTTAAAAAGAACCTGCAAAATGTTTAGGAAAAATTTGGGCTACTGGATTTTTATTCATAAACCTTTCAAACCCGTTAGGAAAAATATTAATACGGGTGTTTTTCATAGAACCTGAACCGGTTTGGAAAAATTGGGTACGGGTATTTTTTCATAGAACCTGCAACCTGTTAGGAAACTATTGACTACTGGAATTATATGAAACCGCAACTGTTAGGAAACCCTTTTCTAAAGGGGTAATTTCATAGAACCCGGGAACCTTTAGGAAAAAATATTTAACTGGATAAATTAAAACCCGCAACTGTTTGGAAAAATATTGAATACGGATTAATATTCTAGGGAAACCCGCAAAAAAGGGTTTGAAACTATTTACTACTGGATAATATTTTATAGAAACCGCAACCTGTTAGGAAAATATTGACACGGATAAAATTCAAAGAAAAACCCGCAAACCGGGTTTGGAAATTTTTGAACGGGAATATTATAGAAAAAATGCAAAACCGGTTTGGAAACTATTGGACTAATGGATAATATTCATTTGAAACCCGGGAACCCGTTAGGAAACTTGGGTACGGATAATATTCATAGAAAAAGGAAAAATGTTAGGAAAACTATTGTATGGGGTTTTTTCATAGAACCCGCAACCCCCGTTAGGAAAAAATTGACTAGGGGTTTTTATTCAAGAACCTGCAAAACCCGTTTGGAAACTATTGACTACTGGATAATTTCTGAACCTGAACCTGTTTGGAAAAAATTTGACTAGTTTGGATAATATTTTAGAACTGCAACCTGTTAGGAAACTATTGACTACTGGATAATATTCATAGAACCTGCAACCTTAGGAAAATTGACTACTGGATAATTTATAGAACCTGAACCTGTAGGAAACTATGACTATGGAAATATTCATAGAAACCTGCAAATTAGGAAACATTGACTTGGATAAATATTCATAGAACCTGCAACCTGTTGGGAAACTATTGACTACTGGATATTATTCATAGAACCTGCAACCTTAGGGAAACTATTGACTACTGGATAATATTTAGAACCCAACCCGTTAGGAAAAATTTACTACGGATATTTTCATAGAACCGCCAAAACCCGTTAGGAAAAAATTATACGGGGAAATTCATAGAACCTGCAAAACCGTAGGAAAAATTTGCTACTGGATATTTTTCATAGAACCTGAACTGTGGAAACATTGCTTGGATAATATTTATAGAACCCGCAAAATGTTGGAAACTATTGACTACTGGAATATTAATAGAACGCAAAGTTTTGGAAAAATATTGATACGGATATTTTTCTAGAAACCCGCAAAAATGGGGAAAACTATGATACTGGATAATATTCATAGAACCTGCAACCTGTTAGGAAACCATTGACTACTGGATAATATTCATAGAACCTGCAACCTGTTAGGAAACTATTGACTACTGGATAATATTCATAGAACCTGCAACCTGTTAGGAAACTATTGACTACTGGATAATATTCATAGAACCTGCAACCTGTTGGGAAACTATGGACTACTGGATAATATTCATAGAACCTGCAACCTGTTGGGAAAAACTACTTGACTAGGGATAATATTCATAGAACCGGCAACGTTGGGGAAACTATTTGTACTGGATATATTCATAGAACCTGCAACCTGTAGGAAACTATTGCTATGGATAATCTTCATAGAACCTGGCAACCTGTAGGAAAACTATGACTTACTGGATATTAGTATAGAACCTGCAACTGTTAGGAAAACTATGACTACGGATAATATCATAGAACCGCACCTGTAGGAAAATATGACTACTGGCTATTATTATAGAACCTGCAACCGTTAGGAAACTATTGACTTCCGGAATAATATTCATTTAGAACCTGCAACCTGTTAGGAAACTATTGACTACTGGATAATATTCATAGAACCTGCAACCTGTTAGGAAACTATTGACTACTGGATATTATTCATAGAACTCTGTTATTTGAGTTGTGACCAGTTCTTCTGGTCTTAAGTCAGGTCACAGAATTCAAATAACACTGGTTGGGTTAGGGGTTGGTTCCCTGGTTGGGTTAGGGGTTGGTTCCTGGTTGGGTTAGGGGTGTCCTGGTTGGGTTAGGGTTGGTCCCTGGTTGGGTTAGGTTTTGGTATCCATGGTGGGTTAGGGTTGGTCCTGGTTGGGTTAGGGTGGGTTCCCTGTGGGTTAGGGGTTGGTTCCATGGTTGGGTTAGGGTTGTTCCTGGTTGGATTAGGGGTTGCGTTCCATGGTTGGGTTAGGGGTTGGGTCCTTGTGGGAGTAAGGGTTGGTCCCGGGTGGGTTGGGTGGTTCTGGTTGGTTAGGGGTTGGTTCCTGGTTGGGTTAGGGAGTTGGTCCTGTTGGTAGGGGGGTGGTTCCCTGTTGGGTTAGGGGTTGTTTCCTGGTTGGGGTAGGGGTTGTTTCCCTGGTTGGGTTAGGGGTGGTTCCTGGTGGGTTAGGGGTTGGTTTTCCTGGTGGTTGGGGTGGTCCTGGTTGGGTTAGGGGTGGTTCCCGGGTTGGGTTAGGGGTTGGTTCCTGCTGGGTTTAGGGGTGGTTCCATGCTTGGGTTAGGGGTTGGTTCCTGCTTGGGTTAGGGGTTGGTTTCCATGGTGGGTTAGGGGGTGGTTCCGCTTGGGGTTGGGGTGGTCCCTGCTTGGGGTTAGGGGTTGGGTTTTTTTTTTTTTTTTCCCCTGGCTTGGTTGGGTTTAGGGGTGCGTTCCATGGTTGGGTTAGGGTTGGTTTCCATGGTTGGGTTAGGGTTGGTCCCTGTTGGGTTAGGGGTTGTTCCTGGTTGGGTAGGGTTGTTTCCCTGGTTGGTTAGGGAGTTGGTACATGTGGGTAGGGGTTGCGTTACCTGCTTGGGTTAGGGGTTGGTTCCCTGCTTGGGTTAGGGGTTGGTTCCCTGCTTGGGGTAGGGGTTGGTTCCCTGGTTGGGTTAGGGGTTGGTTCCCTGGTTGGGTTAGGGGTTGGTTCCCTGGTTGGGTTAGGGGTTGGTTCCCTGGTTGGGTTAGGGGTGGTTCCCTGGTTGGGTAAGGGGTGGGTACTGCGTTGGGGTTAGGGTTGGTTCCCTGGTTGGGTTAGGGTGTTGGTTCCCTGGTTGGTTAGGGTGGTTGCCTGGGTTGGGTGAGGGGGTGGTTCCTGGTTGGGGGTTTAAAGGGGGGTTCCCTTTCCTAGGGTTGTCACTGCCCTTTCAAGGCTTTTAAAGGTTAAAGATGTTTTAGGTGTTGGGTTTGGGGTTTTTAAGGGGGTGGGCTGGGGAGTCACCAGAAGAAGCACCCCCCTGGTCAGCCCGACCCAAATTTGGCCTAACCTCAGGTGGGGGGGCTCGGCTGGAGCCCCCCCTTCCACCGGATGCCGCCCAGGGGGCACCCCCCATTGGGGCCGGGCCCCCCGGGGACCCCGTACGGAAAACAAACAAACACACCCCTACGGTACACACCACCCCAAAACACACACCCTAGTAAACAAAAACACCAAAAAACCAATACGACAAACCCCAAAAAAACCACCACGTTACAACAACAAACACACCTAGGCCACAAAAAACCCAAAAGGACAACCACAAACCCTAAAGGAAACAAAAACACAAACCCTACGTTACCAAAAACAACATTTGGACAACAAAAAACCACCTACGGTACAACCAACCACAAACCCAGTACCCCCCACAACCAAAACCACACCACCCCAAACACACACACCAGGGACACACACAAACCAACACTACCCAAAAACACAACACCAACCCTGTAAACCCAAAACCCCAAAACAAACCCACCAAACCCCCAACCCCAACCACAAACCCTACTACACAAAACACCACACACACCCCTACGAACCCACCACAACACCTTCTACAAAACCAAAAAAACAAAAAATAGGACAACAAAAAAACCCCAGGTAAAACAACAAAAACCCTAGGAAAAAAAAACACGGGAACATACAAGACACTATTAATAGGAAAAAACCGACAAAACCGACGATAAATCAAACACATACCGTCACCAACACAAACACACCACACCACACCACCCTACGGTACAACACACCACATACACCACCCTAGGTCACACACACCAACAAACAAACCACCCCACGGTACACACACCACACACATACCCACCCTACCCTAACATTGTCATAACTTACTTAAACGTCTTTGAACCCATCACTGACTACCATTAACCTTTTTACCTTAACTACATTAGCAACTGACTTAGAACGGTTGACATCTAGAACGTGGACTTGGGAACGTGAATTGAACTGTTGACATCTAGAATTCCTTGACTTAGATACTGCATAGCAATATCCTACCCTTTGGAGTTGTTGAGCGTGACAGGTTGAATAATGACTAGATTATATGAAAAGATAAATAGAGATATCTAAATACATCGATAGTCTAATTAATATCACTTAGGTAATATAAGAGGATAGAGTGACATTGATATATTAGATAATAGAATAGTTATATGGTAATATTATATGCTTCTGTACCTTCTCAGTGGATTAGTTATAGGTAGAAGTCTATTGTAATCATTATCGAGTATATATGTCTCTTGGTAGTTGTAGGTATGAGTATAGTGATATAATGTTCATTGTAAATGATGTAGATGATGACTAGTAGTATATCGAATAGTATAGAGTGTCTCATAGTCTCTCTCTCTCGGCCTCGATCATTTGATTGCTTTGGGATCATGTTCTCTCGTAATTGTCTATTCTGTCTCTGTAGTACTGTTACTATTGTTTGCTCTGCTGTCTCTCGTCGCTGCTATCTCGTCTCTGTCTTCTGGTATCTCTCTTCTCTCTGCTCTGTCTCTCTCGCTCTATGTCTGCTCTCTCTATGTCTCTTCTCTTCTCTATCTCTCTCCTTCTCTCTCTCATCTCTCTCTCTCTCCTCCCCCAGGTTTTAGGCCCCTCCCCCCTGCACCAGGCCCTCCCCCCCTACCAGCTGGCTAGAGACCCCCAATCAGGACAGCTGATGGTTATAACCACAGACCATATACCACACTATGGTACGACGTAGATAGATGGCTGGGGGTGTGTGTGTAACTGTGTAACTGTTTTTTGTCAGGCGTAACACCTACATTGCGTCCACCCCCTGCAGGAGGAGACGTGTTGGATGGTGGTGGCGCCCCCGTGTGGCCGGCGGTGTATGGAGCAGGCAGTTCTCTGCAGCACGCCGCTCAGCTCCAGATGCTGTCGCAACAACAGATGCTGAGGCAACATGAACTGATGATCATCCAACAACATGCCGCTCAGGTCCTGGAGCTGCAGAGGAACGCTCAACTGGTGGTGAGGATTCACGCCTAATACACGCATAATACACGCCTAATACACGCCTAATACACGCCTAATACACGCCTAATACACACATAATACACACCCGATATACACCCAATACACACCCGATACACACCTAATATAACCCAATACACACATAATTACACACGCCTAATACACACCCAATATACACCCGATGTACACCAATATACACCTAATACACACCCAATACACACCCAATGCGCACCCAATGTGCATCCAATACTGCCCAATACACACCAAATACACACCTAATATAACCCAATACACACATAATACACACACAATACACATCCAATACACATATAATATGCACCTAATGTAACCCAATCCAAGTCCAATACATGCATGACACACGCCCAATACACGCCAATACACACCCAGTACACACACATTATACACCTAATACACACCTAATACACACCCAATACACACCCAATACACGCCCAATACACGCCTAATGTACACATAATACAAACCCGACTGTTGATTATCAGCACCCAATACACACCCAATACACACCCAATACACACCCAATACACACATAATACAACCCAATACAACCCAATACACACCCAATTCATACATAATACAAACCTGACTGTTGATTATCAACTGGTGCTGAGGATACACAGACACACACAACACACACACACACACACACACACACACTGCCCGTAAACACAGTGTTACCCCCCCCCCCCCCCCCCCCTCTCTGCTGTAGGAGCGTCTGAAGGCCAGTGAACAGAGGGCGGCGCTGGAAGACAAGACGGATAAGAGGAGTTCCGAGCCCAAACCCCGCCCCTCGCCACGCCCCACTCCCTCCCCCTCCCTCCACTCCCATAAAACTCCCCTCCGTTCGCCTCCCCCCTCCGCCTCCTCCGTCACCCCCCTGCCCTCCCCCAGGCCCGCTCTCAAACACCAGGAGGTCCGGAGAGAGGGGTCTCACCCCTCCTCTCCCCTCCCTCGCACCGCCGCCCCACGCTCTGCCTCCCCCCTGAGACCCAAGCAGGACGCTGACGAGGGAGAGGAGGGGGGGAGAGAGAGGGGGGAGAAACAGATCACCGCCCCCTTTCACAGAATCTACCCAGGTGAGCCTCCTGTTATATTCTGTTATATTCTGTTATGTTATATTCTGTTATGTTATATTCGTTATATTCTTGTTATGGTTATATTCTGTTATGTTATATTCTGTTATGTATATTCTGTTATATTCTGTTATGTTATATTCTGTTATATTCTGTTATTATATTATGTATATTCTGTTATGTTTCTATTTGTTATATTCTGTTATGGTATTATGTTGTTATATTCTGTATATTCTGGTATGTTATATTCTGTTATATTCTGTATGTTTATATTCTGTTATATTCTGTTATATTTGTTATATTCTGTTATATTCTGTTATGTTATATTCTGTTATATTCTGTTATATTCTGTTATGTTATATTCTGTTATATTCTGTTATATTCTGTTATATTCTGTTATATTCTGTTATGTTATATTCTGTTATATTCTGTTATATTCTGTTATATTCTGTTATATCTGTTATATTCTGTTATATTCTGTTATGTTATATTCTGTTATATTCTGTTATGTTATATTCTGTTATATTCTGTTATGTTATATTCTGTTATATTCTGTTATGTTATATTCTGTTATATTCTGTTATGTTATATTCTGTTATATTCTGTTATATTCTGTTATGTTATATTCTGTTATATTCTGTTATATTCTGTTATGTATATTCTGTATATTCTGTTATATTCTGTTATATTCTGTTATATTCTGTTATGTTATTATTCTGTTATATTCTGTTATATTCTGTTATATTCTGTTATATTATATTCTGTTATATTCTGTTATATTCTGTTATATTATATTCTGTTATGTTATATTCTGTTATATTCTGTTATATTATATTCTGTTATATTCTGTTATATTATATTCTGTTATGTTATATTCTGTTATATTCTGTTGTTATATTGTTATATTCTGTTATATTCTGTTATATTCTGTTATATTATATTCTGTTATATTCTGTTATATTCTGTTATATTCTGTTATGTTATATTCTGTTATGTTATATTCTGTTATATTATATTCTGTTATGTTATATTCTGTTATATTCTGTTATATTGTTCTGTTCTCTATATACAACCAGTCTGTTCAGATACACCATTGCTAGATGAGAGGGATCATGTGTATTATTTATCTGACCCTGTGTGTGTGTGTGTGTGTGTGTGTGTGTGTGTGTGTGTGTGTGTGTGTGTGTGTGTGTGTGTGTGTGTGTGTGTGTGTGTGTGTGTGTGTGTGTGTGTGGGGACAGATATCACCCCTGGTTATCCTTACCAGTCCATCACCGCTCCGTTCGGCGCCCCATTCCCCCCCCGCCCCCTCACCCAACCAGCGGGGTTGAACACACACCCCCCGGTCTCCACCCTGCCGCGGGCCACAGCTCCAGACGTGAAGCCTCGGGGCCCGGAGCTCCGGCCGGACCAGGGGACCTCGCTGAAGCGTGACCCCGACCAGGAGCCACCCCAGCTGGGCATGAGTCCCGCTGCCCTGGGCCCTCTGCTCCAGACGTCCGGCCCTCTGACCCTCAGCCACGTAGAGAGGGACGGAGAGCCAAGCCTCAAACACACGCATCTCACCCACACGCACACGCAGTTACACACACATCCCAGCCTCAAACACACGCATCTCACCCACACGCACACGCAGTTACACACACCACACGCCAGCCTCCCCTCAGCCCCACAGCCCTGCGCTCCTCTACCTCCCACACACCCACAAGAACGACAGACCGAGGAAGAGGAGGAAGAGGAGGAGGAGGAGGAGGCAGGAGCGGTCAAGACGGAGGTGTCGACCTACGGCTGCCGAGCAGCCTACCAGCTTCCGCCGTCCGTCCCGGAGAAGGTGGAGATTAAACCAGAGGTCACGAAGAAGTTGAGCCCCGCCCGTTACCCATCATGCACCACCACGGCAAGCTCAGAGCGACTGACCTTTAGACCGAGCCCCGACACACACCCTCATACGTCCTCTCCTCCCCCTCTCTCTCCCAGCCCTCCCCCTCCCTCCCCCTTAAACATCGTCCCTGAGGATCCCATGGCTGGGATGATCGCACTGCTGGCTGCCAGTCAGATGACCCAGGCTGCCCCCCCTGTCCTCCTACCCAGCCTGCTCCAGACAGAGGCCTCCCTGGGGAGAGACGTGGCCAGCCCTGGGTGTCTGGAGGCCTGGGCTATGGAGGGGATGGCTCTACTCAGCCACATGGCCTCACTGGAAATGGACAGAATACAGCTGGAGCAGGGTGAGGAGATGGAGGAGGGGAGGGGTGGGAGGAGAGAGGGGTGGGAGGAGGAGAGGGGTGGAGGAGGAGAGGGGTGA